GTTTTTAATCAAAATTTTAAGGGGTTCGGGGAAGACCGGGGTGGGTTTTGGGGGAAATCCACCAGGGTCGAAGCTGGGCCCTGTGAGGGGGTGTGGCACTAGGGATACAGGGTCAGATGTGAGGGCGGGGGCTGGAGCTCGATCCGGGGGGGTTGTTCAATCAGTACTGTAGGTGGGATGGACAGATATGGGGATAGCAGGGGGCCATATCATGTTTCGGGAGTGCGCACTCGCTACCTTCAAGCAATTGTGCACTCGGTCCTCAATGCCTTTCTTGTTCCCCAGGTGGTTCAGATCCTCAGGGCCTGGACCTCCGACTGATGTTATGTAATGCCAGGTCCGTGGTAATAAAGCCCCCCTCATTTACGATCTTATTCAGGAGGTGGAGCGGACCTGGTGGGTATCACGGAGACCTGGTTGGGCCCGGAAAGGGGGGTGCCCTTTGTAGAAATGTGCCCAAGTTTCCGGGCATTCCATCAGCCGAGAGCCCAGGGTAGGGGAGGGGGGTAGCGGTTGTTATTAATGAAGATCTATGTCCGAGGGAGACCACTGTTCCTCAGACAGCCGGATGTGAGTCCATCCTTGTGAAGTAGGTCTGTGGGGTGCAGGTGGGTCTGCTGATCATGTACCTGGCTCCCTGCTACGTGGCAGCGGCCCTGTCCGAGCTGCCTGACATGATAGCTGGGGTGGTGGTTGATACCCCCAGGCTAATGGTCGTGGGGGATTTCAACCTGCCATTGGTCAGTGACAATCAATGGCGGCCAGGGAGTTCATGGCTTCCATGACGGCCTTGGACCTGACCCAGTTAGTTCAAGGCCCTACTCACATGGGGGGGACACACTCTGGATCTGATTTTTGTCTCTGGTCAGTGGCAGAATGATCTGGAAATAGGGGATTTAGTTACACAACCCTTGTCATGGTCTGATCATTCACGCGTTCAACTGGATCTTCAAACCGCTACCCCTCGCTGTAGGGAGACGGAACCAGTTAAATGGTTCCACCCCAGGCGCCTGATGGACCTGGAGAGATTCCGGATGGAGCTTGGGCCATTCCCTCACGACTTGACTGAAAAACTAGTGGCCGCCTGGGATAAGGCGGCCGCTGGGGCTTTGGACCGCGTCGTGCCTTTGTGGCCTTTGTGGCCTCTGGGGCCTTTGTGGCCTCTGACTTGCCAATCTCAATTGGCTCCTTGGTTCTCCGAGGAGCTGAGAGAGTTGAAGCGCTGGAAAAGATGCCTGGAGAGCGGTTGGAGGGCCAGCCGTTCTGAATCTGACCGAACACTGGTGAGGTCTCATATTAAGACCTACATAGTGGCGATCAAAGCAGCAAAATTTAATTATTTTTCCACTCTGATTGTGTCTGCGGATAACCGCCCAGCCACCCTGTTTAGGGTGACCCGTTCCCTACTCCATACGGGAGCGCGGGAAGACCCCTTGCAGGGTAGGGCTGAGGATTTTGTGCAATATCTGCATGACAAAATCACTCAGATTTGGGAAGGCTTGGACTCCAACTGGATGGGTTCAGATGGGGTGATGGAGGCAGGTCTTGAGAGTGCTAGCTGGGAGGAATTTGACCTTGTGACTCCTGAAGATGTGAACAGGATCCTGGGTAGGTTTGTTGGACCCATGTCCCTTCTGGTTGGTGCTGGCTTCCTGGGAGGTTACACGAGGCTGGCTCCAGGGGATTATTAACGCTTTTTGAGTGAGGGTTTCTTTCCCACTGCTTTGGAAGAGGCAGTGATGAGGCCCCTCCTCCAGAAGCCTTCCTGGACCCGGCTGTTTTATCTAATTATCGTCCTGTCTCCAACCTTCGTTTTGTGGCGAAGGTTGTTGAGAGTGTGGTGGCACAACAGCTTCCTCAGCACCTGGATGAAGCGGACTATCTAGATCCATTCCAGTCGGGTTTCAGGCCTGGATGTAGCACAGAAATGGCATGGGTCACATTGGTTGATGATCTCTGAAGGGCTCGGGACAGGGGTTGTTCCTCTGTCCTGGTCCTGTTAGATCTCTCGGCGCTTTTGATACCATCGACCATGGTATCATGCTACACTGGTTGGAGTGGTTAGGAGTGGGGGGCACCGTTCTATGGTGGTTCATCTCCTTCCTCTCCGGCCATATGCAGTCTGTGTTGGCAGAGGGCAGAGGTTGACCCCAAGGCACCTAGTTTGTGGGGTGCCACAGGGGTCTGTCCTCTCGCCCCTCCTGTTCAACATTTATGTGAAGCTGCTGGGCGAGATCATCCGTGGCTTCGGGGTTGATTTCCATCAGTACCCTGATGATACTCAGCTGTACATTTCCACCCCGGGCCACCCCAATGATGCCCTTGAAGTGATGACCTGGTGCCTGGAAGCCATATGGATCTGGATGGGGAGGACAAGCTCAGACTCAACCTTCCAAGACCGAGTGGCTGTGGTTTCTGGCATCCGGTCATAGTCAGTTGACTCCATCACTGACTATTGCGGGTGAGACCTTGACCCCCTCAGAGAGGGCTCGCAACTTGGGTGTCCTCCTGGACTCGTAGCTGTCCTTAGAAGACCACCTGACAGCTGTGGCCAGGGGGGCTTTTTATCAGGTACGCCTGATTTACCAGTTGCATCGCTTTCTGGACGGGACTCCTTACGCACAGTCACTCACCCCCTTGTCACCTCCCGTCTGGACTATTGTAACACTCTCTACATGGGGCTCCCTTGAAGAGCACCTGGAGGCTCAACTGGTCCAGAATGGCCGCGCGGGTGATTATGGGAGCGACATGGCACACCCATGTAACACTGCTCCTGCGTGAGCTGCACTGCTCCCGGTGGTCTTCCGGGTGAGATTCAGGGTGCTGGTTGCTACTTTAAAGCACTCCATGGCTTGGGACCTGGGTATTTACGAGACCGCCTTCTGCCACCGATAGCCTCCGATCGACCGGTATGCTCCCACAGCGAGGGGCTCCTCCGGTGCTGTCAGCTAGCAATGTCAGCTGATGACCCCCAGGGGAGAGCATTCTCTGTGGGGGCCCTACCCTCTGGAATGAGCTGCCCCCGGAGATTCGTGATTCCCGACCTTCGTACCTTTCGTCGCACCCTAAAAACATTATTATTCCAACAAGCAGGGGGGAGCCTACTTTAATGGGTTGTTTTATTAGAGTTTTTGGCCAATTTATTTAATTGTTTAATTGCTTTTAATTTTTATATTGTTATGGTTTTATTTCTGGCTGTATACCGCCCTGAGTCCTTCGGGAGAAGGGCGGTATAGAAATTCAATAAAATAAAATAAAATAAAATAAAATAAATAAATAATCATGCAACCAGTTTGGGCACTCGGCAACCAGTATGTTTTACAAGGTTTACAGCATCCTATAGTGTGGGAAGAAAAATCTGGTCCAGTTCCAAACCTGGAGAAAGGTGCTGAAAATAAAATGAAGGCTGAAGGAAAGAAGGTTTATTTGGTTTCCAGAAACTTCATTGACAGCAGTAATGTTTCTGGGGTGGCTGACAAAATGGCTGAAGTGAGTGGATGGATCTTTATAGAGTGATTGAGATGCTCCGGGGGTTGTGCAATGTAGCGAGCCTTGTGCCTTTTACTATTTCAATGGGATTGGTTAATCGTATTATGTCCTAAAGGTCATGTCTTTTCCTTAGAATTTGGATGGGGGGAATGTAGATTTTTAATCCCATCAGCTCCAACCTTCTGTGCGTTTTGTATATGAATAGATTGGCCCAGTCTTGCTGAATGAATATAAAATCTCCATTCCTAAAGACCAGTCTCTTTGCTTGAAGCTATTTTACTATGGTAGGAAGACTGGGGCTGCTTTCTGCCTTTAAGAACATGTTTCTCCATTTCTCCTTTGGGGAAATATTCTATCCTGCCTCTTTTAATTTTAAGAATAAAGAATAATTTTAACCTAGGGAGGGGGGGAGTGACTGAAGGGATGGGAGGGGAAACCAACAGAACTTCAAATCTACATTGTAAGTAACCCCTGGGAGCAGGGGTGAAATTCAGCCGATTCTATCCGGTTGAGCGACCAGTAGCGGCGGCTACAGGAGGCTCCACCCACCTGTGCGGACGTCATGATGTTGCTTTTTTTGTGACATTTTAAGCCTCTGTGTATGCTCAGAAGGCTTTGCGCATACGCAAATACGGCACGCACACATTTGCGAACGGTAGGGAAGGTAAGTGAATTTCACCCTGCTGGGAGTTTGTCATAACTTCAACCGGTTGCAAACTATTGGCTATGAGTCGAGGACTTCCAGTAAGATTCACGTTTTTTTTTTAATTTTTTTTTTTTAATTTGATTTATATGCCGCCCTTCTCCGAAACTCAGGGCAGCTTACAATGTGCTCAGCAATAGCCTTCATTCTTTTGTATATTTATACAAAGTCAGCTTATTGCCCCCACAAACTGGGTCCTCATTTCACTACCTTAGAAAGGATGGAAGGCTGAGTCAACCTTGAGCCTGGTGAGATTCAACCCTGCAGTAATTGCAGGCAGCTGGTCTTAATAACCAGCTTAATAACAGGGTGCCTTAGTCAGGTTTTTTCCTATGTAGATCAAGTTGTTTACATGGCCATAGTGAGGCTGGTGTTCTCGGCTTCGTGCTTCTAGGAGCAATGTGTGTGATCGCAGCTGTTTCTTCCTTTTAAATGCAGTGGGGGTGTGAACTGATTGGGTGGGAGCTTGGCTGTGTTCTGATTGGGTGGAGGTGTCAAATCCCCCTGCTACTCAGACTAACCCGACCACAACTAAGCCCCCACCTAAACAGAACACACACCCAGCCAATCAGAGCACAGCCAACCCCATCCAATCAGAGCACAGCCAAACCCCCAACCAATCAGAACACACCTCCACCCAATCAGAACACAGCCAAGCTCCCACCCAATCAGTTCACACCCCCACTGGCAGTTAAAAGGAAGAAACAGCTGAAGCACGAAGCCGAGAACACCAGCCTGAAGATGACGAATGAGACTTCGTCGAAACGTTGCCAAGACACCTCCAATTTTACGCGGGAGAAAACCCAAATAACCAAAGACCTACTCTGGTTTATTTAAAACAGCAGCAGAAGAAGCAACAGCCACAAGAGCAACCGTAGCAGCAGTTTGCAAAAGTCAGAATAACTTGCTGAGGTTTTTCATATGTTTTTGAGAAAGACCAAACTGCAGGAAAACGTCAGCTGAAAAGGCAGGGCTGCAGAAATATTACATTTGGGGGGAATTCATTAAACGGAGACAGGCATGGTATTTTGTCAGTGGCTTAAGGGTGCGTCTAATATATTGGCTGAAGCACCTGATGAAGACCATCAATTCAACTGCATTTCAACCTAAAGAGAAGCTTATGAAGTAGACCATGGTCAGATGGTCCTTTCAGTCTTCTGAAGAAGAGATCTGAAAAATATATTAAAAAACAAAAACAAAAAAGAGCCATAGCCAAAGATTAGAATTAGTCCATTTAAGGCAGCAAAATAATGATCAGGAAACGCTTTGGAGGTATCGGTTTGGTTTTGATAAATACTGACAATATACAGTATAAAACCGTGATGGCAAACCTGTGGCACACATGCCAGAGGTGCCATGTAGAGCCCTCTCTATGGGCACATGTGCCGTCACCAGCTGCTTTTCTGATTTCCAGCGTGCACATGCACTCTGACCAGCTGGTCTTTGTGGGTGGTAGCCAAGGCACCAGAAAATGGCCTGAAAACGGCAAAAAACCAGGCCATTTTGGGGGGCGTTTTCAGGCCATTTTTCAGACTGTTTTCAAGCCATTTTTCGGGCCATTTTCAGGCTGTTTTTTTGGGCCGTTTTTGGCATGTGTGCTGGCCAACTGGTCTTCAGATTTCTGGTGCTCTGACGTGCACACATGCACGACCATTCACACATGTTCCAGTTTGGGCACTTGGTGCCGAAAACGTTCGCCATCACTTGTATAGAATAATTGGGGCAGGGGTGGAGGGGCATTCTTGTATCAGCCTGTAGAAAGCTCACAGGCCAGGTTTGAGGGGACCTCCCTTTCCTCTTGCTTATCCACTATTTTGCAAGTGGATTATCCAAGGTATACGATGTCTGAACATGGAAGTTTTATATAGGCCCTCAACTCCAAGCCTCCAGTGGACTGCAAGAAGTCAGGAGCCTGGATGTAGTTCAAAACTACAGGTAAGTCCTTGATTTAGGGACAAACTGAGTCCAAAATTTCCATTGCTAAGTGAGACATTTGTTAAGTGAGCTTTGTCTCATTTTACAACCTTTCTTGCCACAGTTGTTAAATGAATTACCACAGTTAAGACAGGGATACGGTTGTTAAGTGAATCTGGCTTCCCCATTGCCTTTGCTTGTCAGAAGGTTGCAAATGTGATCTCATGACCCAAGGACACTGCAACCGTCATAAGTATGAGCCTGTTGCCAAATGTCTGATTTTTGATCATGTGACCAAGGAGATGCTGCAATGGTCATAAAGTGTGAAAAACAGCCTGAGTCTCTTTTTTCAGTGCTGTTGTATCTTTGAACAGTCACTAAATGAACTGTCGTAAATTGAGAGCTACCTGTACTGCAAGTTTATTTCATGCTATGGATACACAAGAATCGGAACCACTAATGGTCAAGATGAAATGGCGCCAAATATCAATGGACTTCAAGGGAAACTGGACTTAGGTCTCTTACAGAGTTGTAGAGACTCCAAACTAATGACACATTTGACCCTGCTTTCCGGCTGAGCTTGGTCATCTCCTACATTCCCCCATTTTAAATCTTGTTCAAAGAAGCAGACTGTTGACAGGGCTCCTGCTCCTCCTTCCCCTCCTTCCCTAGAGAGCCTATTATGATTAAGGACATCATCAGGTTGTAACGCAACATCTGGGGTCATGCCTAAGGTTAAATAACAGTGTCACTCACTGCCAAGGCAGGGCTGGACAAGAACATACCTCCAAAGTGCTGATTGGCTGGAATAGCTCACCTATTCCTGCTTTAAGGCTAATGATGGGAGAGAGAGACGCACACATGGCAAGTATGCCATGAAGACTTGTCAAGAATTTGTCACAAGGGACATCAGCCCTTCCCTGGGGATATAAATGTGGCGTTCTCTAGATTAAAACTAATATTATTTGTCTTCAATACCCTGGCCAACCAAGAGATGGCAGCAAGGAGGCAGAATTTTTCACTGCCTTTTTGGTGTCACCAGTGGCCATTCAGCATTTTGCAGCCTTTTTGATTCAGTTCCTGTGATTGTGCCTTTCCAGTGGGCCAACAGTAGAGAACTGACTCCGTGAGTGACTAAATGGGTTTAGATATTGTGGGAATAGGAACATTGTCCCTGTGCTCGATCCTCTGTAATGCTATCAAGGCCAGAAATTAAAAGCTTTACTCATTATTTTTAAGGATTCATTTATAGTTTAAGCACATTATGGTGTCCAAAAGAAGAAAAGTTGGATCAAATCTGGGTTGGTTACTGGGACTAAAGTTTTAGTCAGGGATGGGCTTCAAAAATTTTAGCAAGGGGTTCTCTGTCCAGTTGCTCTGTGGGCCTGGGCATGATGGGTATGGCCTAGTGAGTCTCCTGCACCACAGTGAAGGGGGGCGTTTTTGCCCTCCCCAGGCTCCAGAGGCTTTCTTCAAGCCTCCGGGAGGGCTTAAACGGCCTCCCCAGGCTCTGGAGGCCCTACGGCCTTCCCAAACTTCCAGTAGGCCCATTTCTGCCCTCCCCAAGCCTCCGTGTGTGCCTGTACTTGCCTGCATCCAAAAAGGGCCGCATGGGGATTCCTGGGAGGGGCGGGAGGGGCGGGGAAGCGCCAGCCAGGAGTGGAATTTGTGGGTTTTTCAAACTGCACAGAATCTTAGCTAGAGGTTCTCCTGCAAACCCCCAGCAGCCCACCCCTGGTTTTAGTCTTCTGAGCTTTCAGATTTGTGCTGGTGCTCATCCTCAGAGAACTTGGTAGAGATAAATTCCCCCAGGATGGGTTCCAGCACGAATCTAAAAGTTTGGAAGACTAAATCTCTGGTCCTATTGATCAACCCAGATTGGATCCTGCAACATTATCCTAGGACATGTATATTTGCTTTCATTCATAAAAAACGTAGGCCTTAAAATATTGTAGTCCTAGATTGTTAAAGGCAATGATGGGCTACCAGACCTTAGGATCACACACAGAATCATGGATATAGTTCCTAAAAGCCTTTCCCAACGATTGGTGGAGACTATCCTAGATAGAGGAAGTCATCTCAGGGAACGCATTTAATTTATTTCAATCAAATTTATTTTTTTCATAGTTTCACCTGTATCTTCTCTGGCCTTTTTCAACTTTTTTGAACATGCTGATCTTTGCAAAGGTCAAATTTATCTCTTGAGTCAAGAAACAGGACAAAACAGGACAAAATTGGCCCTTCAGGTGTTGTCCTACAATTCCCATCATGCTTAGCTATGCCTCACGATGGGATAATGGGCGCTAAAGTCCTTCTTTGTTAGGAAGAAAACTTTGAAGAAGATTGAGATGACTATTCTGGAGATAAAATGAGATTTCTATGTTTGTTTATCCTAGCTATGTAAATTCTACTTTTGTCAATGTATCTTCTCAAAGGTGTGGGAGTAATGAAATCACTAAACCTCTAAAGAGATTATCATGCTACCAATGCCTCCAATCTGCCTTACCTGCTTTTTAAAGAAATACAATAGGAGATTAAGAAGATGAGACCATTGATGGTGAAGAAACTCCCACCGACAGCCAACAATCGAATCCATCTGACGCCTAAACCAGAAGAGAGAAAAGAAATGCTGATTGTTTTTTTTAACACAAACTTACCACATCCTTCACTTCTTTTAATAAACAGATAAGTATTCTTTTTCAGATTCAGATTAGACTGATTGTTTTGGGCTTTCCCATCTAACAGTGCTTATTCATCATTCAAAAAGCAGCTTTGGCAAGCTCTGTGGTTTCTCTATCACTTTTGATCTCATTGCAATCTTTGATCTTCTCTTACACCTTCTTTCTGGGCCAGCTCTTCAGCAGCATGTCCCAAAGGTGCTTATTTCAAGAGGCAACTGGACTTTCTTGGTTTTTCCTTGAAGAAGTTTTGCTTCTCATACAAGAAGCTTCTTCAAATTCAAATTCAAATCTTTATTGTCAGTGCACAACATATGTACAATGAGATTGGTTGAGCTCCCTCAGTGCATGCCCCCCAACACAATACAACTCACAGTGAAGACAGAAAATCCTTAACCCAATGAATCATATTAACAAAACACCCAGTCCTATTGCACCAGTGTTACACATTGTGCCGGCACTGCAGTCCATCATACTATGTAGTGATGATGTTATTTCTCATTCAGGAGTCTGACAACCCACAGATAAAAACTGTTCTTCAGCCTGTTTGTGCAGCTGGCTATACTTCTATATTTTCTTCCCGATGGTAGGAGGGTAAAGAAGTGGTGACCAGGGTGAGAGTCGTCCCTGAGAGTTTTCCTCACTCTTCTAAGGCAGAGAGCCCTAGCGATCTCATCTAGTGGTATCAGGGGACAGGCCACAATGTTTTGTGCTGTGCTCACCACCCTCTGTAATGTTTTTCTATCCGCGGCTGTCAGACCAGCATGCCATACCATGATGCAATAAGTGAGGATGCTTTCAGAAAAGAATTTGTTCAGAACTGAAGAAGCCTCTTGGATGAAAAGTGAAACATCTTCAAGGAAAAACTACTAAAAAATAAAAAATAAAATAATTTTTAAAAAAACCTAAAAAACTGCCTACCATCCCTGACCTAATGTTTCCTTCATTTCATGTAATCAAATCATGTTTATACTTATATTTATTATCTAATACCATGTTTTCCCGAAAATAAGACCCTGTCTTATATTTTTTGAACCCCAAAATAAGTGCTTGGCCTTATTTTCGAGGATATCTTATTATTTTGGGGCACGTGGAGCAAGACGGGGCTCCTCTTGCTGTCTTACCTGATTTCCAGCTCTGTCTCCCTAACCCTAACTAGAGGAAATGGTGGGGACCATCTGCGCATGCATTTAAATATTTTTGGAGAGGGCTTATTTTCGGGGAGGGTTTATTTTAATACATGCACTCAAAAGCCCTATTGGGCTTATTATCCGGGAAGGTCTTATTTTTGGGGAAACAGGGTAGATGTTACATAATCATACGTATTTTGGGGGAGGGCTTATTTTAGCACATGCACTCAAAAGAACAATTGGGCTTATTATCAGGGGATGTCTTATTTTAGGGGAAACATTTATTTATGCTTGACATAAATAAATAAATAAATAAATAAATAAATAAATAAATAAACAAACAAACAAACAAACAAACAAACAAACAAACAAATAAATATAAATACCAAGAAAGTCCAGTTGCCTCTTGAAATAAGCACCTTTGAGACAACCATGACCTGGATGACTGAGAAGCTCCATAGATATTCAGCAGCATGTTGGAAGAAAAAAAAAGAACATGGGATCCTTAGAAGCAACATTACCTAGCAGGTCAATGTAGATTGGATTGCTGCTCCTGGAAACTACATTTCTTCCACTGAGGTACTTAGCATAGGCACACCTGATGCTCTCCACATCCTTGCCTTTCACATTAGTTAGATTGTATGTGTAGGAGCTGTTGCCGGTAGCCATGACCGAGATAACCATTTTGTTTGTAATGAAACGAAACTCCCTGATTTGATCAGCTTCAGGTGGAGCTGTGCATTCCATTCTGATGGACTTTCTGAAGTCAAAAATCATGTAATTCAGAGATGGAGCTGATGGGGCCGCTGAAAAAAGAAAGACATGTGTTCAACCCTCTCTTCTTTTTGCTTGCTTTTCAGCTTTTCTCCTCAAGGGCAAGTAATGAACACTGAGCATAGAATAATAGAGTGGGAAGGGACCGTGGAGGTCTTCTAGTCTAACCCCCAGCTCGAGCAAGAGTTCTTATACCATTTGTGACAAATGCCTATCCAGTGTTCCAATATTTGAGGGGCTCCTACAAAGACGAGGAGTTCAAACTATTTTCCAAAGCACCAGAATGTGAGACGGATGGAAATTAACCAAGCATAGAAGCAAACTAGAACTTGCATGATTTTTTACCTTGGAAAGTCCATCAGCCTCATTTTAAACCCCCCACCCCACCCCAGGAATGGAGCACCCACAACTCCTGAAGGCAAGCTATTCCATTGGTTCATTGCTCTCATAGTTAGAAAATTTCTCCTTAGTTCTAGGTTGCTTCTCTCCTTGGTTAATTTCCATCCATCATTTCTTGTCTTGTATTCTGGTGCTTTGGAAAATAGTTTGAACTCCTCGCCTTTGTAGGATCCCCTCAAATTTTGGAAGACTCCTATAGTATATCTTTCCTTTTGTGAGAAGAAGGAATTAGTCTCCATATCATACATAATCAGGGGTGGGCTGCTGGAGCTTCACAGGGGTTCGGGAGAACCTCTAGCTAAGATTCTGTGCAGTTCGGAGAACCCCCAAATCCTACTCCTGGCTGGCCTGGCCCACCCCACCATGCCCCTACCAGGAGTCCCCACGTGGCCCATTTTGGATGCAGGTAAGTGCAGGGCAAGCATAGAGGCTTGGGGAGGATGAAAAACAGGCCTACCAGAAGTTCAGGAAGGCTGGAAATGGGCCTGTTTCTGGCCTCCAGAGGGCTTCCGGTGCCTGGGGAGGCTGTTTTTGCCCTCCCAGATGCTCGAGGAAAGCCTCTGGAGCCCAGGGAGGGCAAAAACGTCCCCTGCAGTGGTGTAGGAGGCCAACTAGGCCATGCCCACTATGGCCATGCCCACCCAAAAACTGGGCAGAGAACCCCTTGCTAAAATTTCTGAAGCCTATCCCTGGGCATAATACCAATTAAAACATGTTATTTGACCTAGGTATATTATTTCTTCAGAAACCCTCTTAGAATTCACCTTCATGGTGGTTCTCACAATGAAGTCAGTTAATTCCTTGAGATGAAATGAACAAGGAATCATTCTTGTCATTATCTTAAACATTCCCTGGAAGGGACATTTCTTATCATAAAGGCAGAGCTAATGATACCAGAGCAAGCATGGCATCCTTACAAAAACAAACAAACAAACAAAAAAACCTAGCAGGGGCTTTTTTGAACGATGACTATGAGCAATTACCACTGCCTGCAGCAATTCCGTACACCTTCTCTCTGATCTTACCTTTACTAATCTACCTGGCTCCTCAAACATGAATTGATATGCACAAATACAAGGGCAGATGTATGAAACATGCTATAATTAAATAGAATGGGTTATATTTAGATAATCTTGCAGCCAGTTGTAACTAAACCCAGAAACTTGGGGTTTATATATGATATTAAGCCATCATTTAAATCCAGAGGTTGGTTTTGTTTAGTGCACTGGCTAATGTGGTTGGCTGTTTTCTAATTCAGCATCTTGTCTGAATGAAACTATATCTTTGTCGGTGCTATTGTAGAAGAGTGTTCTATAGGAAATTTAGACTACAAGCTCTGGGCTCTGGGCTCTGCAATAAATCTGGAAGATGGGATGTTGAGCTGATGGATTGGGAGATTGCCTGATAAGAAGAATATGCTCTGTATTCTGCAACATTTATCAACTGAGTTATCAGATGAGAATGCTAAAATGGGCAATCCTTTGAGAGCTGTTAGAGAATATCTTCTTCCTTCCTTCCTTCCTTCCTTCCTTCCTTCCTTCCTTCCTTCCTTCCTCCCTCCCTCCCTCCCTCCCTCCCTCCCTCCCTTCCGATCCTTCCTTCCTCCTTTCCTCCCTTCTTCTCTGTCCTGCCCTATCCTGCCTTCTCCTTCTTTCCTTTCCTTCCTATAAAATTTCTCTCTATCATCTCTCTCTATAATCTCTCTCTGTCTCTCTCTCTCTCTGTCTCTGTCTCTGTCTCTCTCTCTCTCTCTCTCTCTCTCTCTCTCTCTCTCTCTCTCTCTTTCATCTATCATCAATATCGTCTCCCTTCCCAACTGCAGGATTCATTGCTGGTTTTCCTTCCAAATACTAAGCCCAACCAGGTTACCTTTCCCTGGATTAAAAAAAAAAATGAAATCATGAGTATTAAGAAAGGGCAATTGGGACTTGGAAACAGTAGTTTAGTAAGGAGGGGGGGGAATAAGTCAGTGTGACAGTGTGGCAGTGCGGCAATGTTTTGCTGCCATCTGGTGATCAGAATGTGCTACATCTATATCTTTTACAACACAGGTTCTTCCTCACATACAATACACACACACACACACACACACACACACACACACAGAGAGAGAGAGAGAGAGAGAGAGAGAAGAGAGAGAGAGAGAGAGAGAGAGAGAGAGAGAGAGAGAGATCTTTAGTTTCCTTTAACCAGTAAGCTATTTGCTAATATAGAAACTTATCACTCAGAAGTTCCCCAGAGTAGCCATGATTCTATCTTTTCCCCTTTGGTTGTCTGGTTGTCTTTAGCTAAATGCAAAAATAAAAGTCAGCCTTTATTGCATAAAATACTGATGTCAGAGTTTTAGGTTTGTTTTAGAGAAGTTGGAAGTCACTGTCTTTTCTTTCTTTCTTTTATTTCCCTCATTTCATTTCTTTCTCCCTTTCCTTTCCTTTCCCTTCCCTGTTCCTTTTTTTTCATTAACTTCATTTTATTTGTATTTTATATGAAGAAAAAAAATCTTTTAATTAGATAGATAGATAAATAAATAGATAGATAGATAGATAGAGAGAGAGAGAGAGAGAGAGACAGAGACAGAGACAGAGATAGATGGAGGGAGGGAGGGAGGAAGGGAGAGAGGCGGAGTGTCCTCCCTCCCTCCCTCCCTTAAAATTTATTTTAAATAAATTTTCCCCAAACCTTTTATTAAATGAACTTGTTTATCATTTTAAACATATATCCTACAGCAAAGTTGTTTAACCAATTGGTTGCTGTTAGCCAGGTTCTTATTGTTTAAAATTTGGGCTCAATTCAGTGGTTTCTTGATTTTGAATTTCTTAAGGAAAGAAATTATGCCTTTACCTCTTTACAAACTGCCCTGGGAAACTTCCCTTTTGAAAAGCTAAACATTTAAATGAACTGACCGTCAGGCTTTAGAAAGAAGGCGGGTCACTTCCTTGCCCCAGTTTTCACCCTGAACCACCCTCTCTCCAATGCTGTTGCAGCAAATGACTCAACAACAACAGTCCCAAGTTCCTTCTACAATTTTGTGTCTTTTAGAAGCTCAGCAAGGTTGCAGCTACTTAGTCCTTGGAGAGAGACCACTAGGAGATCTTGACTAGGAAAACAAACAAACAAACAAAAACTGAAGTAAGTTGGCACCCACCCCTCTCCTAGAAGAATGAAATATTTTAGGAAATATTAAAAGGCAGAATATTATGTTTCCCTGGATGAGAAAAGGAGAAACATGGTTTTTAAAGACAGAGCAGCTTCCTGCAGCTCCCTGCCTGCCCCCCTTCAGCGCCAGGGTGATGGGATTAAGACATGGCCTTCAGGACATGATAGGATTAGCCCTCTACCCATCTCACCTGGCACCTGGGAAGATTACATCACCCAGCAAGGCTTAACTAAGCCTGGGACTCAGGACAGCCTACAGAGTTGCCCCTGCATGGCCCCATGGGAGTCTGACAACCAATCAGAATGCAAGCTCAAATTCAAAAGCCCAGAGAGGTTATAAAACTCAGGCAATCTCCGCATCTCTTCCTTTTTTTTTTTTCTTCTTCACCCAATATCATCAAGGCATGAGATCCTGTCCACCATTAAAAACCATCTTTCCAAGCAGTCTCCATGTTTCCAGTGTCTTCTTCCCCACTTGGAACTGAACCCAGATGGACATTTCTTCCAACAAAGCAAAGCAAAGCAAAGCAAAGCAAAGCAAAGCAAAGCAAAGCAAAGCAAAGCAAAGCAAAGCAAAGCAAAACAAAACAAAACAAAACAAAACAAAACAAAACAAAACAGGACAGGACAGGACAGGACAGGACAGGACAGGACAGAACTTTAGATAAAAGCCCAATCTACTGCCCTACCTACTGTTCAGTGCAGAAACCCAGATTAAAATATCCCAGACAGTCTCTGTTTGGGAATACAAAACAGAGGAGTGCCTGCAGGATCCAATCTGGGCCAGTTACCAGGACTGGAGGTTTAGCCTTCTGAGCTTTCAGATTCGTGCTCAGAGAACTTGGTAGAGATAAGTTCCCTCAGGATGGGTTCCAGCATCAGTCTAAAAGTTTGGAAGACTAAGCCTCTGGTCCATTGATCGATTGGATCCTGCAACATTATCTAGGACACGTATATTTGCCTTCATTCATAAGAAACATAGGCCTTAAAATATTGTGGTCCAGAATCATAGATATAGTTCCTAAAAGCCTTTCCCAACTATTGGTGGAGACTATCCTAGATGGAACAAGTCATCTCAGGGGACACATTTAATTTATTTCAATCAAATTTATTTTTTTCATAGTTTCACCTGTATCTTCTCTGGCCTTTTTCACTTTTTTTGGAAGATGCCAATCTTTGCAAAGGTCAAATTTAGCTCTCGAGTCAAGAAACTCCTGGTTTAAGTCCAAAATGGGACAAAATTGACCCTTCAGATGTTGTGCTACAGTTCCCATCATCCTTAGCTACACCTCACGACGGGATAATGGGCACTACTGTCCTTCTTTCTTAGGAAGAAAACTTTGCAGAAGATTGAGATGGATTGTGCTAGAGCCCATCCTCAGGGATCCTCACACACAATCTGGTGAGAGAGAACGAGTCCAGTGTGTGTCCAAAAGTTCAGAAGACAAAACCTTTGGTCCTGGTAACTGACCCAGATTGGATCCTGCAACATTATCCTGGGACACATATATTTGCCTTGTTTCAAGAAGAGAGCCTATTGCTTCTCGGGTCACTGACTCTACCTCTAACTATTCTTACTGTTAGAGTTTTAATAACATTCAGTCAGAACCTACCGTATTTTTTGGAGTATAAGATGCACTCCCCCTCCCAAAAGAGGGTGAAAATTGGGGCGCGTCTTTATACACTGAATATAGCCAAAAACATGATGCACGGAGGCAGCGATGGTCTGTGGGAATCCCTGCAGCCTGGAACAGCTGATTAGGGGTATTCCGGGAGGCCGATCCACCCGCCAAACAGCTGCTCATGCTGAATCAAGCTGCAATAATGTGCTGAAGCTGACCTGGCTGTTTGCTGCAAGGACTCAGAGTTTGCAGCAGCGATCACATCCAGAAATCACTGATTCTGCAGGATTCAATGACTTCTCTTTATATATAATATAACACATGAAGTAAATATACAATACAAAACGCAGGTTTTCCAATGTGGTAGTAAATACAAGCAAAACACAAGCAGAGGAGAGGAATTTCAGTTTCATTTTTGAGCAGCAGACTAGTTTAGACTAGTTCAGGACAGATTCAGAGCTGCAGACCTAAGCCACGTCAGGCTCCTGGCTGTCTCCTTCCTTGTTGCTCACACAGCAAATACTGTTTCAGTTTTCAAACAGCGCTCAACTCTCCCACACACTGACAGGATGCTAGCCAGATGAATACCGATGGATGCTGGTAAGCAGAAGCAGAATTTGTTTTTCTTATTTTCCTCCCCAAAAACTAAGGTGCATCTTATACTCCGGAGCATCTTATACTCCGAAAAATATAGAGTACTTTTCTAGAACTGCATAATTAACATTCAATTTTTGCCAAGCCTCTCCATCTCTCTCTCTCTCTCTCTCCCTCCCTCCCTCCCCCTCTCTCTCTTTCCATTCACTATCTGCCTGCCTATGGCACCAAAGTCTGTGGCCCAGTGCTTTGTTGAAAAGTATATTTGTGTGCTTAGGAAATAAAACCAAAATAAAGGGATTTTGATGGTGCAGAGGTTGGCACAGAGCCAAAACCCTTCTATATCTTCTGGGAAACAGGAGTGCTAAGCTGGCCAGTCACTCTCTCTCAGCTCAACCCACATCACAGGTGGGGACAATGGGAGTTGCTTATGTTTGTTACCTTAAGTTATATATGAACATAATAAAGGCAGGATATAAATGAAATAGATGGTGATGATGATGATGATGATGATGATGATGATGATGATGATGATGGTGGTGGTGGGATAGATACACTAGACAGACAGACAGACAGTTAGGGAATATATATATATATATACAGTCAGGTCCAGAAATATTGGGACATCGACACAATTCTAACATCTTTGGCTCTATACACCGCCACAATGGAGTTGGAATGAAACAAACACAATGTCCGTTAACTGCAGACTGTCAGCTTTAATTTGAGGGTATGTACATCCAACTCAGGTGAACAGTGTAGGATTTACAGCAGTTTGCATATGTGCCTCCCACTTGTTAAGGGACCAAAAGTAATGGGACAATTGGCTTCTCAGCTGTTCCATGGCCAGGTGTGTGATATTCCCTCATTACCCCAATTACAATGTGCAGATAAAAGGCCCAGAGTTCATTTCAAGTGTGCTATTTGCATTTGGAATCTGTTGCTGTCAACTCTCAAGATGAGATCCAAAGAGCTGTCACTATCAGTGAAGCAAGCCATCATTAGGCTGAAGAAACAAAACAAACCCATCAGAGAGATAGCAAGAACATTAGGCATGGCCAAAACAACTGTTTGGAACATTCTCAAAAAGAAGGAATGCACCGGTGAGCTCAGCAACACCAAAAGACCCGGGAGACCACAGAAAACAAGTGTGGTGGATGATCGAAGAATTCTTTCCCTGATGAAGAAAACACTCTTCACAACAGTTGGCCAGATCAAGAAGAACACTCTCCAGGAGGTAGGTGTATGCGTGTCAAAGTCAACAATCAAGAGAAGACTTCACCAGAGTGAATACAGAGGGTTCACCACAAGATGTAAACCATTGGTGAACCTCAAAAACAGGAAGGCCAGATTAGAGTTTGCCAAACAACATCTAACAAAGCCTTCACAGTTCTGGAACAAGATCCTATGGACAGATGAGACCAAGATCAACTTGTACCAGAGTGATGGGAAGAGAAGAGGATGGAGAAGGAAAGGAACTGCTCATGATCCTAAGCATACCACCTCATCAGTGAAGCATGGTGGTGGTAGTGTCATGGTGTGGGCATGTATGGCTGCCAATGAAATTGGTTCTCTTGTATTTATTGATGATGTGACTGCTGACAAAAGCAGCAGGATGAATTCTGAAGTGTTTCGGGCAATATTATCTGCTCACATTCAGCCAAATGCTGCAGAACTCATTGGACAGTGCTTCACAGTGCAGATGGACAATGACCCAAAGCATACTGCAAAAGCAACCAAAGAGTTTTTGAAGGGACAGAAGTGGAATGTTATGCAATGGCCAAATCAATAACCTGACCTGAATCCCATTGAGCATGCATTTCACTTGCTGAAGACAAAACTGAAGGGAAAATGCCCCAAGAACAAGCAGGAACTGAAGACAGTTGCAGTAGAGGCCTGGCAGAGCATCACCATGGATGAAACCCAGCGTCTGGTGATGTCTATGCATTCTAGACTTCAGGCTGTGATTGACTGCAAAGGATTTGCAACCAAGTATTAAGAAGGGGAAGTTTGATTTATGATTATTATTCTGTCCCATTACTTTCGGTCCCTTAACAAGTGGGAGGCACATATGCAAACTGTTGTAAGTCCTACACCGTTCACCTGAATTGGATGTACATACCCTTAAATTAAAGCTGACAGTCTGCAGTTAAATCACATTGTGTTTGTTTCATTCCAACTCCATTGTGGTGGTGTATAGAGCCAAAGATGTTAGAATTGTGTCGATGTCCCAATATTTCTGGACCTGACTGTGTGTGTGTGTGTGTGTGTGTGTGTAAAAGGAAGAGACAGCTACGATCTCACATTGCTCCTGGAAGCACGAAGCCGAGAACACCAGCCTGAAGATGACGAATGAGGGAGAAGACCCGAATAACCAAAGACCTACATACAAACACCCGCGAAAACCTGAGAATATATATATATATATATATATATCAGACAGAATAGATAGATAGATGATAAATGAGATAGAGAGAGAGATAATAGATAGAAAGATGATATAGATAGATAGATAGATAGATAGATAGATAGATAGATAGATAGATAGAAAGAGCCGAGGTGGCACAGTGGTTAGAGTGCTGTACTGCAGCTACTTCAGCTGACTGCTAGTTCAGTAGATCAGCGGATCAAATCTCACCGGCTCAAGGTTGACTCAGCCTTCCATCCTTCCAAGGTGGGTAAAATGAGGACCCAGATTGTTGGGGACAATATGCTATTTAGTATACTGTCGATTGTTGTAAGCCACCCAGAGTCCTCGGAGAGTGGGCGGCATAGAAATATGATTAATAAAATAAATAAAATAAATAAGAAAGGTAGAATAGATGGAGAGAGAGAGAGAGAGAGAGACAGACAGACAGACAGACAGACGGACGGACGGACAGACAATCATTTCCTGGACTACAATGGGGGACATAACGCTGTAACTCCTTAAATTTCTTAGCTGGTTTTGTGGCAATAGGAGAGGCTTCACAGAGGCTTCTAGAGGACTATAAGCATGACCTACCATTCACTTGGATGCTGCTGGTGCGGCTTTGGTCTGACTGAACTTCCCTGCCTGCTTCTTCCAGCCAATAAGCACACCTGTAACTTCCGGTTTTGTTCATTTGTGCCTCAAAATCCATCACGCCATCTCCATAAGCATTTGGGGCCTCTTGATGGATCTGCTGCCCATTTTCTCGGAAGAATCGGTAACCTTGCACCATCAAGTTTCGCATCCCTGTCAAGTTCTGAAAAGTTGAGCAGACCAACCTGATCTTCTCTCCTTCATAATATTCCTGGTACATAGGCTGCACAGAAAGTGTGGGTCGAGTTAGAGGCTCTGCAATTAGACACAAAGCAATTAAACACATCAAAATGAGACAGATCCAGGTGGCAGATGGTTGGGTTAGCAAAAGGTGGAGACAACCTCAAAGCCAGCTTCAAACCCAGCCTGAGATCTAATCCAACTAAAAATTATATTTTTATATTTACATAGTATTGATGTTTGATTTACAGTATATGGTTGGAGGGGCCAGGTGTGGGCTACAAAAATTTTAGCAAGGAGTTCTCTGCCCGGTTGCTGGGTGGGCATGGCCATGGTGGGCGTGGCCTAGTTGGCCTCCTGCACCACAGTGGAGGGTTACGTTTTTGCCCTCCCCGGGCTCCGGAGACTTTTCTCGAGCCTCTGGGAGGGCGAAAATGGCCTCCCAGGGCTCCAGAGGCCCTCTGGAGGTTAGAAACAAGCCTGGAGTTCCTGACCTTCTGGTAGGCCCATTTTTTGCCCTCTCCAAGCCTCGGTGCATGCCCTGCACTTACCTGCATCTAAAACGGGTCACGTGGGGACTCCTGGGAGGGGCGGGGCAGGGTTAGGGCCAGGGCCAGGGCCAGGGCCAGGGCCAGGATTGGGATTTGGGGGTTCTCCGAACTGCACAGAATCTTAGCTAGAGGTTCTCGCAAAGCCCTGTGAACCCCCAGTAGCCCACCCCTGGGAGGGGCTGACTGTTTACTATTTGCTTGCTTTATATGGTGTTTCCCATCACAATGCTTGAATTGGGTGGCCTTATAAATCTTATAAATTTATAAAGCAAATTTGGGAAACTTCATGCATTATTCAGGAAAGTTGCATGGTAACAGATTAACAGAGTTGGAAGGGACCTTGTAGGTCTTCCAGTCCAACGCCCACCCAACTAAGGAGGAGACCCTACACCAGGGGTGTCAAACTCGTGGTCTGCGGGCCAGATGTGTCATGTGCTGGCTACACCCAGCCCCATTTTAGCGAAAGGGAAAAAAGTTGTGATAATCACGTGACAACAATGTGATGCCACGAGTTTGACACCCCTGCCCTATACCATTTCTGACAAATGGCAGTCCAGTCTCTTCTTGAAAGCCTCACGTGATGAAACTCCCACAACCTCCAAAGGCAACTTCTGTTCCATTGGTTGATTGTTCTCACTGTCAGGAAATTTCTCCTTATTTCCAGGTTGAATCTCTCCTTGATCAGTTTCCATCCATTATTCCTTGTCTGGCCTTCGGGTGCTTTGGAAAATAGTTTGACCCTCTTCTCTGTGTGGCAGCCCCTCAAATATTGGAAGACTGCTATCATGTCTCCCCTGGTCCTTCTCTTCACTAGACTAGCCATGCCCAACCATGCCCCTAATTATCCTGGTTGCTCTTCTCTGCACCCTTTTTAGAATCTCAACATCTTTTTTATAGTGTGGTGACCAAAACTGGATGCAGTATTCTAGGTGAGGTCTTAAAGGTAAAGGTAAAGGTTCCCCTTGCACATATGTGCTAGTCGTTCCCAACTCTAGGGGGCAGTGCTCATCTCCATTTCAAAGCCGAAGAGCCAGTGCTGTCTGAAGACGTCTCTGTGGTCATGTGGCCGGCATGACTAAATGCCAAAGGCACATGGAATGCTGTTACCTTCCCACCAATTTATTTTTTATGTGCTTTCGAACTGCTAGGTTGGCAGAAGTTGGGATAAGTAACGGGAGCTCACCCTATTACGCAGCACTAGGGATTCGAATCGCTAAACTGCCGACCTTTCGATTGACAAGCTCAGTATCTTACCCACTAAGCCACCGCATCCCTTGATAATATATATATTATATATATTATTATTATAGTAAGACTATAATGTCTTACTAAGGCTTTATAGAATGGTATTAGTAGTTTAGTGACTGCCTGATTTAGCAACAATTTGTACAGACTGTTGCAGGTTTTTAGAACGAAGGAAAGCTGAAGACAGATGAGCAAAAGTCACAGTTTCACTTAACAACCAAGTTACTCATCACATTGTAGTCACAAAACGTATAGGCAAAAGGTCTCCTTCCTTTTGAAGTGATAAAATTTGCACATCGGTTTAATTTTTTCTTCTTTTTTAAAAAGTTCAGAAGTACCTCAAAGATGAAATTTAGCAAAAAAACAAAAACAAAAACCTGGTAGTTAATAAACAAGTGCATGTACCCAAGCAGGAAAGCTTACATAATTAAAAAGCAGCCAGATTGGGAAACACTTGAATTTACTTTCTGACTCATCAACAATCTTTGTTTTGAGAAGTATGAGTCGGATCACGATTATAGCTAGTGGAGCATTTTTTCCCCCTCTTTTTTTGTCTATCAGAAATTCCTACTGTTTGTGATACACAGAAGACTGAGCAGGTCTCAAGAATGAATCAGAAGAAGAATTTCATCTATTTTCACTTTCTATGTGAAGCTGGGGGGGGGGGAATATAAGGCTGCCTGAAAAGTTTCATGACTTTTAATATAAATCCATTCCTTAAAGCAACCACCGTTCTTTTCTAAGGCTTTCAGAAGCCTATAAAAAACATAAATAGCAGCAAAATGCTTGTGAAAGACCTAAAGCCGTGATGGCGAACCTATGGCACACGTGCCACAGCTGGCACGCAGACCCTCTCTGCGGGCATGCAAGCCAGCTCCACCACGCATGCGCGCCTCCCACCGGCCAACTGATTTTCGGGATGGGGGGCAGGGTGTATGTGGGAGACATGCATACATGGGCAGGGACTGCATGTGCATGCGTGAGGGGCACAGATGTGTGGGGTGGGGGGAGCACGGGAGGCTGCGTCCCCCCCACAGCCCATTTTTAGTCCCAGGAGGCTGCAAGTGTTTCAAGTAGTTTTAAAATAGTCAGGTGCCATCGCTGATTATTGGGGATGAATCTTTGCCCCCCACGGAGAGGGCTCGCAATCTGGGTGTCCTCCTGGACGTGTGGCTGTCTTTAGAAGAGCATATGACGGCCGTGGCCAGGGGGGCCTTTTATCAGGTTCATCTGATCCGCCAGTTGCAGCCCTTTCTGGACCGGGACGCCCTGCGCACAATCACTCATGCCCTTGTTACTTCCCAGTTGGACTATTGTAAAGCTCTCTACATGGGGCTCCCCTTGAAGAGCACTCGGAGGCTCCAGAGTGCTGGTCCAGAATGCGGCTGCGCGGGTGGTTATGGGCGCAACTCGTTGTGCCCATGTGACACCCCTCCTGCACGAGCTGCACTGGCTCCCGGTGGTCTTCCTGGTGCGATTCAAGGTGTTGGTTACCACCTTTAAAGCGCTCCATGGCATAGGACCCGGGTACCTCCGAGACCGTCTTCTGCCACCAATAGCCTCCCACCGACCAGTTCGCTCCCACAGAGAGGGTCTCCTCCGGGTGCCATCGGCCAAGTTATGTCGGCTGGTGACACCCAGGGGGAGGGCCTTCTCTGTGGGAGCCCCAGCCCTGTGGAACAAACTGCCCCCAGAAATACATAAGATCTCCGACCTCTGGGTGTTTTGCTGTGCACTGAAGACCCTGTTGTTCCACCAGGCCGGGCTATCAACATAATAGTTTTAAATTGGGGTATTTAAATTTTCTGGGGTTTTAAATTTGAGCCAAATTTATTTAATTATTTTAAATTTTAATTGCTGTTTTGTCTTGTGTTTTTAAATAGGCTGTACACCGCCCTGAGTCCTTCAGGAGAAGGGCATTATAGAAATAAAATTATTATTATTATTATTATTATTATTATTATTATTATTATTATTATTATTATTATTATTATTCAAAATGCAGTTAATGCAGAGGCTTTTAAAAGGCCGAAGAAGTTGTAGAAAAAAAAAGTTTTTAAAAGCCTCTGATGATCCCAGATGAGTTGCCTGATCATCAGAGGCTTTTAAAAGCATTTTCTTCTGCAACCTCTTCTGCCAAAGACATTGTAGAAAATATGCTTTTAAAAGTTTCTTTAAAAAATGTTGGCCATGCCCACCCAGTCTCATTACCCCCCCACCAAGCCACGCCCACAGAACCAGTAGTAACAAATTTTACATTTCACCACTGCTTTATCCTGCCTGCCATTTACACCATTTACTCATAGTGTCCACCACTCTCCAAATTGTATTCTCATTCCTTGTGCCAGACAGCAATTTATTTGTAAGAAGACCAAGCCAAAGGACTTTTAAGACATTTCTTTCAATGTCCAAAATCTCACGCCTTCCCATTTTTTGAAAAAAGAGCAACGAAAAGCTACCGTTGATGCTATCCAACCTCACTACAATGAGTTTCAAAACATGATTTTCCTTTCCATTCAGTGCTCTTACAGATAAATCACCATTATCCAGAAATCCAATGATCTCAGCAGTTACAAGAGAGATGGGGAGAGGGGGGCTTCACCAGCTCTCACTTGGCAGAATTACAATAAAGTACAAAGAGGGAATACTACCCCCATTTCTCTGGTGCAAATACAACCCCCTGCTTTGGCTATTTTTCTTAAGTTTTTAAAGAATAATTCAAGAAGAAATCAGGCAACTTTACATGAGATATTTACAGAGACTAGACATATAGAAAGAGGAACAAGTGTCACTTATCCTTCCTTTTCTTCTTAATAAAAAGCAGATACAAAACTACAAGGTGCCACAACCTAAATTTTGGGCACAGCCTCGGGCAGGCGTCTGCAACCTTAAACACTCAAAGAGCCATTTGGACCCGTTTCCCACAGAAAAGAAAGTACCGGGAGCCACAAAACCCTTCCCATGCCTGACTATTTTTTGCGCAGCCACAAAACTAGCATATATAGTTGAATTAAACGTTCTGTTTTCTTCTGAGACTTTTATTTTCTTGGATTTATCCATGGTTGTTTGGCCTACTGGGGGTTGAAAAGCTCAATAAATCGCATGCCAGCGAGTGTCACACATTGGCAGTTGTGATGCATTTGAGTGACAGGGAGACACAGCAGAGAGGTGAAAGAGCCACATGCAGCTCCAGAGCCGCAGGTTGCTGACCCCTGGCCTAGGGAAGCATTCGTTCTTTGACTAATCTAGAGCAAAGTAACTTCCCTAATGGGTTCTATTGTATTTGACACCTATTGTCATCAAAAATGATCCTGAGATAGACACAGTAGTTTCTTCAAAGCAACGTATCAAAATTAACCACCTGCATATTTCTCACCATGTCACTGCCATGATTTCTGTGATGGGTGAATCAGGGGAGGAATTACATGGAAGTTTTAAGTTGTTCGGCATCTCTTGAATTGTATTGTTCAGTTCTGTAAGTCCCCCAAACACTTTTTTATTAGTTTATCGAAGGATAAAATACAAAGAAAAAAAAAACATGGAAAAGTAAGAAGAGAGGGAGGAAAAAAGAGGATCTGGATCCTGGGAGAAGCAGTTTTCACCCTCTCAGAGGCTCAAGAAAATCCTCCGGAGCTTGGAGAGGGCAAAAAATGCCCCCCTGCCACCGTGGTGCAGGCATCTGACTAGACCACATCCACTATGGCCACACCCATCCAGGAAGGGGGCAGCAAACCCATTGCTAAAGGATCTGAAGCCCACTCCTAAAAATATCTACGGACTCCTCACATCCTGCACATAAACTATTTTAACTCCTCCCCTCAGGACACTGCTGTAGGACATTGCATGCCAAAACAACTAAACCCAAAGATAGCTTTTTTTCTCCCCATGCCATCCCTCTGCTAAACACATAATTCCCACAGCACTGTCTTATGCCTGTAAGGATATTTACCCATGTAGTAGGACTGTGTTACTATTGTCCTTCTCACCTTTTCCATTAGCTACTCCTATTGGTAAGGGGTGGGCTGCTGGGGGTTCGCAGGGGTTCAGGAGAACCTGTAACTAAGATTCTGTGCAATTCACAGAACCCCATCCCACTCCTGATTGGCCCCGCCTCTCCCACATGACCCGTTTTGGATGCAGGTAAGTTCAGGGCACACAGGGACACTTGGGGAGGGCAAAAAACAGGTCTACCGGAAGTTCAGGAAGGCTGGAAACGGGCCTGTTTCCAGCCTCCAGAGGGCCTCCGGAGCCTGGGGAGGCTGTTTTCGCCCTCCCGGAGGCTCAAGAAAAGCTCCAGAGCCCGCTCACAGATCCGAACTGGTAGAGAAGATACATGGAACCCATTACTGTGCATATGGTATATGATACTGTTCTGACCCGGCTCCAAAACATGACAAATCCTCTGTAGTTACCTAATTGTTCCTTTTATTAGAAGCGCCAGCAGCCCTGGCAAAAGTCTCTCTCTCTCTCACGCACAGCAGGCTAACAAATCTGTCTGGCAGGAAGATGAATAGTTGTCTGCCACACCTATTCATTTCCGTCCCCTGCCTTTTATCACCAGAGATAGGGTTGGGTTTCGCTAGCAGTGGTTGCTCTTCTGTCCCAAGGACCAGCCGGTAGATTTCTACTGCTCTCCTCTCCTCTGCCTTCTGTGTATCTGCACATCAGGCACTGGACCCAGTTGTTCCTCCTCTTCATCATCAGCCACCTCCAGACCTGGAGTCTGTTGACTCTCCATCTGAGGGCTGATGGATGGCCCAGACTCTGCCTCTGTCTCTATCTCTGACAGCTCCATTCCCTCTTCCCCCTCAGAGCTCTCAGGTTGCCTTGAAGCTGGCCCTGACTCCCATGCCGCCTCCTCATCTGATTTGGCTGCCAAAGGGGCCGGCGGCCGACAGCCCACAACAGATACATGGACTAGCAATATATATTAACATTTCACCTAGATTAGTAAAATACAATAAAATAGAAATATTAAAAAGATCTATGTTCAAATACCAAATGTCTAGGGCATCTAACCATTGAAACTCAGCATCGTTTATATTAAAAAAAAAAATTAAATACTGATTTGGTGTATGCCCTCAGCTTACAGCCGGTCACTTCCATCACATCAAAGATTTGACTGAATCCGGCTGGTAAAAAGATATGGGTCCTTTAAGGAGTTGCCAGCAAGGTCTCCCTGAGGCCTTCCCTGCATATTTTGAAGCATATATTTTGCATGAATTTGAAGCTCGATTCTAAACAGACATTTTCAGCATTTTTAACTGAACTGAGTCGGTGTGAACTGAGTCAGTGGTTGAGATATAAGGGAAATACTGTTAACATAATTAAGAAATGGCCATAAAAAAAGAGCGAAAGAGCGAAAACACCCCTTCAGAGGAGGAGACAATAAGGAAGATACTAGTCTTTGTGAAAATGGACACTAAAAATAAAAAATAAAGCAGATACAGAATACTAAGCTACATGGGATAGTTTCTATCAATGGTTAGAAACACGAGGTAGAAGTTGCAATGCGAAAGAATCACGTTAGGTGGACATGGAAAGAGATACTATGTATGTATTAGAATGTAGATATTAGAATGATAGATAAGTTGACATACTAGAACATGATGATCAGAAATTCCTGTACAACACTAGCACTGTTTAAAATAGTATATATGTTATTTTGTTTTTACCTTTGTTTCATGGAAAGTGGAATACCAGGACAATTACACTGTACTCAATATATTTATATGTAAACAATAAAAATATATTTTAAAAAAAGGCTGAAAAAAAATGGCCAAATTCAAGTGCACTTTTTACATGTATTAATTTTTTAGCAAAGTGGAAGGAATTCTCTATCACACATTTATACATATATATATAAATGTATATAAATATATATAAAAGAAAAAAGTAAGAATATATATATATATATATATATATATATATATATATATATATCGGAAAGAATTAAATTTTCTCTACTTTTAACTATAGAGATTGTGTATCGCTGATCCTGGAACATGGGAGACAATTTTCAGAAGATTATAAGCTAACAAGTAGGAATAAAATGAGAGAGAGAGATCAACAGCACGTCTGCAAAAATTAAAGGAATGGAAGACGGAAGGAGTAAAAAATAATAATGGAGATTTGTTGCACATGTCAAGATTCTTATCATTAACTGAATAACATTTTGGTGAACAAATATTTCCTCTCTCCGCCCCCCCACCCCCACCCCACCAGCTCTAGCAGAAGGGAGCTGTTTGCAAAAAAGCTTTTGCAAGTGTGACTGAGTTAAAACAGAAAAGAATAAGCCAACATTCCTTACTTCCACTGATGCAAAAAAACACCAGATCATCAGTTCTTGAAAAGGCTTGGTTTCTGTTTCCTTATACCACAGATAAAGATAGAGCAACCAGTGATGAATGTTTCACTCTTGGACATCACGAGTTGGACAATTTGGTTTTGCCCATTGTGAAATACACACCATATGTTGCTATTGCTTGTCCACACAAACTCCTGTTTCATGTCAATAAGACGCCCTGATGCCTTGGTGCCATTCATTGGCAAGGAGGGGCAGCAGCAGTGGTGCGTTGTCCCCAGTTCGGACCGGTTCTATAGAACTGGTAGTAAAACCAGGGGGAGGCTCCACCCACTGACCCTGACATCATGAGAAGCGATTTGCGCATGTTTGCGCAGAAGCAAGGCGCATATGTGAGTGAAGCAAGCGCATGCACATGATCCCATTGTGAACTGGTAGTAAAGGTAAGTAGAACCCACCCCTGGGCAGCAGGTCAGAAAAATCTCAAGGGGGCAGGAAGCAACCTCTTTCTCAGAACTGTATGGGTGTGAAGCATATATATATATAATCTTAGCCTGGCAGAGGAATCACGAGTTAGTCTCTAGCTTTCATCCCATTCCCTGTAATCGAGAGACATCTACAGCAGGGGTGAAATTCTCCCGGTTTGGACTGGATCACCTGATCCGGTAGCGATGGAGGTGGGTGGTTCAGAGAACTGGTAGCAAAAATCCCTGCCCCACCCCACCCCCCATTGACCAGCTGAGACGCGCAATCATCAGAGGCTTTTTTTTAATTTTTAAAAGCATTTTTTTCTACAACCTCTTTGGCTGAAAAAATGCTTTTAAAAGTAAAAAAAAAAAAAAAGCCTCTGATGATCCTGCGGCTCAGCTGGGATCATCAGAGGCTTTTAAAAGCATTTTTTCTACAACCTCTTCAGCCGAAGAGGTTATAGAAAAAGTGTTTTTAAAAAGAAAAAAAAGCCTCTGCCGATCAGGCAAGTCAGCTGGGATCGTCAGAGGCTTTAAAAGCATTTTTTTTACAACCAAAAAAAAAAAGTTGGCCACGCCCACTCAGTCATATTAACACCCCCACCCCCACCAAGCCACGCTCACAGAACCGGTAGTAATAAATTTTACATTTCACCACTGATCTACAGAGATTCTCAGTCATCCAAGTCATGGTTGTCCCAAAGGTACTTATTTCAAGAAGCAACTGGACTTTCTTTGTTTTTCCTTGAAGGCGTTTTGCTTCTCATCCAAGAAGCTTCTTCGGTTCTAATGACGGGATGGTGGAGAAGGGAAGGATTTATATTCCTAGCAGTCATCTGGTCATTTTAGCATGCTTTTTGAGAGTCGTTCAGGACACTTGGAGGTTTATCTGTGCCCACAGAGTCATCTGAATAGTGAAAATGGGTGTGGAACCTTTTTTGGAACTGATGAAAGTCACAGCGCAGTTACAACATGGTCCTTTCAGCAGTTTCAAAAAGGTTGCACACCCATTTGCACTATTCAGGGGATTCTGAGGGCACAGATAAACCTCCAAGTGTCCTGAACAACTCCCAAAAAGAGTACTAACGACCAGATGACTGCTAGGATTATAAATCCTTCCTCTCCCAACCATCCCAGTTAGAACTGAAGAAGCTTCTTGGATGAGCTATTTATCCTTCACTTTTGGTATATTGGAAGGGAGGGAGGGAGGGAGGGAGGGAGGGACGGAGGGAGGGAGGAAGGAAGGAAGGAAGGAAGGAAGGAAAACTGAAATGTTACCTGCAGATGAGGATACTTGGAGCACAATATGAAGCAAAGCTGCAAAAGAATAAGAAATATATACTGTAAGAAATATTTTCATTAAGGATTACCAGAATTTCATTGACTTACACAGCAGTTCTTTATATGTCTACTTAGAAATACATTCTTATTTTTTTTTTTAATTTGATTTATATGCCGCCCTTCTCCGAAGACTCAGGGCAGCTTACAATGTGCTCAGCAATAGCCTTCATCCTTTTGTATATTTATACAAAGTCAGCTTATTGCCCCCACAAACTGGGTCCTCATTTCACCTACCTTAGAAAGGATGGAAGGCTGAGTCAACCTTGACCCTGGTAAGATTCGAACCCTGCAGTAATTGCAGGCAGCTGGTCTTAATAAGCTTAATAACAGGGTGCCTTAAACCCCTGTACTACCAAGGCTCTTTTATTGATATAATTGTTTATTTTCTTAAAAAATAATATTAATGTACTTCAATTAATTAAGAAAACTAGATATACATCCAAGGAATGTATACATCACTTCAAGTATAACCATTGTCGCTATATGTTAAAAAGAGAAGAGGACGGAAGAAAACTAGAGGGTTGCTAATTATCTTATAAGTGGAACAACTTCAAAAAAACTTTTGGCTGGCTTGCTCAAAAATCCATTGGTTAAAAAACAAATCGAACCATAACAACCCAGCCTTCCCAATGATGATGATGATGGCTGCCTAGAATTGCAGCCTTCCTTTGAAGCTGTATTGTATTTATTTAAAGATACGCCATTTAGGATTATCACATGTTACATATTTCACATTATCCCAGGTATCCAGGTTGAAATTCCAATGTCGATCAATATTTAAATCTAAAGAAAATTCATCTGTGCAAGCTTCAAAGCTAAATCACAGAGGCCTTTTAAATTTCTTTTGCTCATAAAAGGGTACCCAAGATGCATCGTTATCTGCAATTTTAAATATTTGGCAAGCCAAAGTTTTCATTTTAGTAAGAATGGTGCGAGAGCAGAAATTAAAAAAACCCAGTAAGAGTTAGAGAAAAGAAGAAAAGTTTTGAGAAAAAAGTAACTCACTTAGCATGGGGACCAGGCCAAAGGCATCCATGTTGAGTGAGATCAATCTTCTTCCAACTTTTGATTTGGAAATTATGGTCCCTCAGAAATTACTGTTCTTCAAAAGCCGTGCTTGAGTATCTTGACTTCTAAAATGAATGTTCTCCTTTGAAGCAGATCTTCTAAATGCTGTCTATGGGAAGTCCACACAGTTATCAAGGGAAGCCCACTCTTGCACAATCATTCTGAGGAGAAATGCTAGACTTCACAGAAACTCAGTCACAGATCCAGAAGAAATTGTTTCAAGAAACAGAAAGCTCAAATTAGTGACCTCAGCGGGCATTTTGCATTGCTTATCTCATCAACAACCCGTTTTTGTCCTGATCATTATTTAATATCCTTTCTGCCCTCAGCTAACAGGAAGAAATTGCTGGAGTATAATATTTCTGTTTGATATAATAGATGCTGATTTAGAGGAGCTCAGAACAACAAATGTTAGACCAAGGTCCACCTGAAAGAGGACTGTGATGGGCTGAGGAGTCCTGGACATGATCCACCCTGGAGACCCTTTGCTGTAAGAATCATACCCCCAAGGTACCATATTTTTAAGAGTATAAGGCGCGCTTCCCCCCAAAAAATAGTGGGTAGAAATGTCTGTGCGTCTTATACTCTGAATATTGTGGGGAGAGGGGCTTGGTGCAGCACCGATCAGCTGTTCTAGAACAGGCGGCAGCGGTGGAGAATGGGCCACACTGAATAGGCCACACCGAATGGACCGTGGCAGCAAATGGGCCACAGCAAACAGGCTGCAGCAAACAGGCCAGATAAATACCAAATAGATGCTGGGAGTCAGAGGCAGATTTTTTTTTCCCTTGTTTTCCTCCCCAAAAGCTAGGTGTGTCTTATAGTCTGGAGCGTCTTATAGTCTGAAAAATATGGTATTTTCATCAGTTGTTCTCAACAGACCTATCAGAAAAATTCAACAGAATGTTTTAAAGCAATCCATTCCTACCACTGATTCTTTGGAGAAAGTAGATGATCAATGGTTACTTAAATAAATAATTCTGGGGCATTGTAGAAAGTTAGCACCTACCCCTCTCCTAGAAGAATGAAATATTCTAGGAAATATTTTTTTAAAAGGCAGACTGTTATATTTTTCCTTTATGAGAAAAGGAGAAACATGTTTTTAAAGACAAAGAGCAGCTCCCTGCCCCCAGCAGATATTTGATGCCCATTGAGCAGGACTGGGCAAGCCTATCTACAAGACAATTAGACCTTCAACTCCAGGATGATGGGATTAAGACATGACCCTCCAGGACATTATAGGATTATCTACAGCAGGGCTCACTGCATTGCGAAATCACCTGGGAACATTGCATCACCCAGTAAGGTTCAACCAAACTTATTTCAGACAACGAGGTCTCTATAAAAAGATCTCGACTATGTGTCAGAATGGTCAAACAATTGGAAACTCCAAATCTCAACCAACAAATGCTCTGTCTTACACATTGGCAAAAAAAAAAAAAAAATCAGAACACAAAATACAAGCTGGATGGATACGACCTAACAGATGACTCTCACACTGTCAAAGACCTTGGAGTTCTCATCTCAAATGATCTAAGTACCAGAGCTCACTGTAACAGCATTGCTAAAAAAGCATTAAGAGTTGTTAACCTAATCGTGCGTAGTTTTTTCTCCGGTAATATTGAACTGCAAACTAGGGCATACAAAACTTTTGTCAGACCAATTCTTCAATACAGCTCATCTGTCTGGAACCCACACTGCATATCGGACATTAATACAATCGAACGAGTCCAGAAATATTTCACGAGAAGAGTCCTCGACTCCTCTACTCACAACAAAATACCTTATGCCACCAGACTTGAAATTTTGGGCTTAGACAACTTAGAAATTCGCCAGTCTGACCTAAGCATAGTACATAAAATCATCTGCTACGATGTCCTACCAGCCAATGAATATTTCAGCTTCAACCAAAACAATACAAGAGCACACAGTAGATACAAATTCGTGGTAACCGATCCAAACTAGACTGCAGAAAATACAGCTTCAGTAACAGAGTTGTCAATGCCTGGAATGCACTACCTGACTCTGTGGTTTCTTCCCCAAATAACCTTAGACTGTCTACTGTTGACCTCAACCCATTCCTAAGAGGTCTATAAGAAGTGTGCATAAGCACACCAGCGTGCCTACCGTCCCTGTCCTAATGTTTTCATTTATTTGTACCCTTTTCATGTATTTATAATTATGTTTACACTTGTATCTGTCATAAAATACATGCTTGATGAAATAAATAAATAAATAAATAAATAAATAAATAAATAAATAAATAAATAAATGTCAGCTATGATCCCTGCATAGCCCCATGGGAGTCTGACAGCAGCCAATAGAACACATAGAAGCCAGTTAGTGCTGGCTTCCCGGGAGGTGACGCAAGGCTGGCTCCAGGGGATTATAAATGCTTCATTGTGTGAGGGTGACTTCCCCGCTGCCTTGAAAGGCGGTGGTGAGGCCTCCCCTCAAGAAGCCTTCCCTGGACCCGGCAGTGTTGTCTAATTATTGTCTGGTCTCCAACCTTCGCTTTGTGACAAAGGTTGTTGAGAGTGTGGTTGCGCGACAGCTCCCCAGCACCAGGATGAAATGGCGTACCTGGATCCATTCCAGTCAGGCTTCAGGCCTGGGTACAGCATGGAAACGGCATTGGTCGTGTTGGTTGATGATCTCTGGAGGGCTCGGGACAGGGGTTGCTCCTCTGTCCTGGTCCTATTAGATCTCTCAGCGGCTTTTGATACCATCGACCATGGTATCATGCTGCACTGGTTGGAAGAGTTGGGGGTGGGAGGCACTGTGTTGCGGTGGTCCTCCTCCTTTCTTTCTGACCGGTTGCAGTCTGTGTTGGCAGGGGGGCAGAGGTCGATCCCGAGGCGCCTCATATATGGGGTGCCACAAGGGTTGGTCCTCTCGCCCCTTCTGTTCAACATTTATGTAAAGCCACTGGGTGAGATCATCCGTGGTTTTGGGGTGAAGTACCATCAGTACGCTGATGATACTCAGCTGTACATCTCCACCCCAGACCCCCCCCAACGATGCCCTTGAAGTGATGTCCCGGTGCCTGGAGGCCATGCGGATCTGGATGGGAAGGAACAGGCTCAGGCTCAACCCGTCCAAGACTGAGTGGCTATGGTTTCTGACGTCCCAATATAGTCAGTTGACGCCATCGCTGATTATTGGGGGTGAATTGCTGGCCCCCACGGAGAGGGCTCGCAAGTTGGGCGTCCTCCTGGATTCATGGCTGTCTTTAGAAGAGCACTTGACAGCCATGACCGAGAGGATTTTCCATCAGGTCCGCCTGATTCACCAGTTGCCTCCCTTTCTGGATTGGAACTCCTTAAACACGGTCACTCATGCCCTCGTCTCTTCCCGCCTGGACTACTGCAACACTCTCTACATGGGGCTCCCCTTGAGGAGCACCCGGAAGCTCCAACTGGTGCAGAGTGCGACTGCGCGGGTGGTTATGGGAGTGACATGGCGCTCCCATGTCACACCTCTCCTGCGCAAGCTGCACTGGCTCCCGGGGGTCTTCCGGGTGCGCTTCAAGGTTTTGGTTACCACCTTTAGAGCACTCCATGGCTTAGGGCCTGGTTATTTACGGGACCGCCTGCTGCCGCAAACGGCCTCCCACCGGCCGGTACGCTCTCACAGAGAGGGACTCCTCCGGGTGCCATCGGCCAAACAATGTCGGCTGGCGGCCCCCAGGGGGAGAGCCTTCTCTGTGGGGGCACCTACTATCTGGAACGAGCTCCCCCCGGAGATACGGAGGATCCCGGATCTGCGCACCTTCCGCCGCACTCTCAAGACCTTTTTATTTCACCAGGCTGCTCTGGCCTAACCTCTCCCATTCTCTTTTTAATGTAAATTTTAATGTAAATTTTTAATTTGTTCTTAACCTGGGATTTTAAATTTGTTTTGGGCTAAATTGATTTAATTCGATTTTACTTCTGCTCTTAAATTTTTGTATTCTATGTGTTTTATCTTGTGCCTGTTCACCGCCCTGAGTCCTTCGGGAGTAGGGCGGTATATAAATCAAATAAAATGAAAAAAAAAATGAAAATATTGCACAGGAACAGGAAGCTCAAGTTCAAAGCCCAAGAGAGAGTATAAATACCTCTCACTCTCCACTCCATGTGGTCAGCTGCCCAGGACCTCAAACCCATGTGGTCCTGTCCATCATTAAACCATCTTTCCAATCAGCTTCCATGTTTTCCAGTGTCTTTCTCCCCACTTGGAACTGAACCCAGATGGATAATTCTTCCAACAAGAAGAAAAGACAAAAAGGAAATCTGATAAAATCTTTCTTTACAACATGAGAAAAAACAAATGCAAAATAATTATGATACAGTAACCAAGACACTGCATATCTAACCCACATATCTAACACTAATTCGTATAGTGTTGCTAAACAGCAGTCTGTTAAAATAATTTTCCACAGAATTGCTCAAAGCAGAAGTAAATTTGCAGATCAGAATATGTTTTCTAAGAACGCAGCAATCTTGAGCTTCCAAAATACATATCAAGAAGTGTTATACAAATTTTTATGCCTGGGCAGAGAACAAGAAACTGCAGCCAGTTAACGTAAATACTAATATCTCAGAGACTTTAATTCACTTAAAGAATGAGAGACATTAAAATATATCATACATCTTGATTGAGCATTATATCCGAACTTCTTGACTTATATTTATTGAATTCCTGGAGTTAGAAATATCGATTCAGTGATATCTCGACTTGCTTTCTGCTTTTTTAGAACTTCCAAGGTTATGCTTTGAGATTTAGGAGACACGGTAAAGATAAAATGTTTTCAACTTCTGCTTCAGCATCTTTTTTTGTGGCTCTTTCCTCCAAGTTCTTTTCTTTTCTTCTTCCAAACTATCATATATTTTGGAGTATAAGATGCACCGGAGTATAAGACACACCTTAATTTTTGGGGAGGAAAATAAGAAAAAAGCTGATTGGCAGGTGGATTGGCCTCCCGGAATACCCCCAATCAGCTGTTTCCAGAGGTGAATTTTAGCAACAGGTTCCTTGGTTGTGAGCTCTGTGCCTTGCTCTTTTTTTTTTTTTGCTTTTTTTTGCTTTTTTTTCTGCTTCTGAAACTTCTGAAAC